TCCACCCCCCCCCCCCCAATAGCTAGCAATCCAAAACAGTCCAGTGGAGCCTGAGCGGTGGGTGTTGCCTTCTGACACACTTCCGGTGATGTCAGGGGGTGGGGCATATGCAAATAAGTTATGCTAATGAGCTCCTGCTAATGAGCTCCTCCTGTTGGTATTTATATTGTTTGTTTTATCTATTGTTTTCTTACGTAAGCTGCCCTGAGCCTGCCTCGGCGGGGAAGGCGGAGTAAAAATCGAATAAACGAATAAATGAACTGAAGAGACGACCACTTGCCTTTGTTATATCGACCGGGAGCCCGTTCTGCGAGGCCTCGATCATGGGTTCCAGGCCCTTGGCCTGGCGGAGGAACAGCTTGGCCCCCTCGATGTCATTCTGCTGCTTTGCTCGGAGGGCCGCCGCCATCAGTTGCTTCTTGCGGCTTTCCAGGAAGGCCAGCTGCTGCTGAGCTGTTGGGAGGAGAGGAAAGGAAAGGGGGGGGGTGCTCATCGCACAGAGTCCCTCGCTAGCAGACAGCAAGGAGGTTCCAAATCGGGCAAGGGATGAAAGAACCCTTCTATTTCAGGCCGCGTTTCTGGGTGCCACGTTCCTTTTACGCAGGGCCGGCACCGGCGGCTCGGTGGTTAAGACGCTGAGCTGCAGACCGGAAGGTCGGTAGTTCAGCGGTTCGAGACCATTGTTCCCTCTAAGCTGAGTTGGTGTGAACTGGCTCAGTTTTTCAGCCTCCGGCTCACACGTTTTTGTCTTAGCTCAGGAAGGAGGGCTCCAGAGTAAACTAATTTATGCAGCAGCCAAATTGCTCGCTCACAACTTTAATGCCAGTGGCTCAAAAAGTAGAATTTTTGCTCACAAGACTCCACAGCTTAGAGGGAACATTGTTCGAGACCCGAGTGTGCCGCGTGACGGAGTGAGCTCCCATCGCTGGCCCCGGCTCCTGCCAACCTAGCGGTTCGAAAGCAAGAAACTGAAAGTAGATAAATAGGCACCGCTTCGGCAGGAAGGTGACAGGGTTCCGTGTGCCTCGGCATCTAGTCCTGCCGGCCACGCGACCACGGAAACTGTCTTCGGACAGCGCCGGCTCTTCGGCTTGGAAACGGAGACGAGCTCCACACTCTAGAGTCGGATTCGGCTGGCTTTCGAGCAAGGGAAACCTTTACCCTTTACTAGCATCGGCGGACGCTGAGGTGAGGAAGCTGCCGGGGCCCGGGGTTTCTGGGGGGTGGGGCTCACTGCCTCTAGCACCCCATGCCCCCTCATTTGCTAGCCCACCACCTCCTCTGCTCTCTGCTGCACGCACCGCCCGGTGCCACTGGGGAAAGGTGAAGGCAGCCGAGAGCATGGGCAGTGGGAGGGCTTGTGAGCAGACCAGGGAAGGAGACACACGCAGGGGGAGGTAAGCAGCTGGGAGGGGAGGAAGGAGAGATTGGATTTATGCCCCGCCCTTCACTCAGGAGTCTCAGGGCAGCTTACAATCGCCTTCCCCTTCCAGTCTCCGCCAACAGTCACCCTGTGAAGTAGGTGCGGCTGAGAGAGCTCTGAGAGAACTGGGACTTGCCCGAGGTCTCCCGGCCGGCTTTGCGTGGAGGAGGAATGGAGAATCAAACCCGGTTTCCCCCAGATTAGAGCCCACCGAGGACAGGAGGGGCGGGTGGGGGGCAGTGATCCCTCTAAGCTGAGTGTGAGCCAGCTCACAGTTTTTTAGCCTCCGGCTCACACATTTTTGTCTTCGCTCAGGAAGGAGGGGGCTCCAGAGCAAACTCATCTATGCAGTAGCCAAATTGCTCACTCACAACTTTAATGCCAGCAGCTCACAAAGTAGAATTTTTGCTCACAGGACTCCACAGCTTAGAGGGAGCATTGCTCACAGGTTGTCTGTTATGGGGAGAGGAAGGGGAAGGAGTTTGTAAGCAGCTCTGAGACTCCTTTGGGGAGTGAAGGACGGGGCATAAATCCAATCTCTTCTTCTTCTTCTAATCCCCACCCTGCCCGTGGAAGCTTGCTGGGTGGCCTTGGGACAGATGAACGTTCTCAGCCCAGCCTACCTCACAGGGTCGTTGTGAGAACAAAAGGGAAGAGAACGACGTAAGTGGCTTTGGGCTGCCGGCAGGGAGGAAGGTCAGGTATGAATGACTAAATAAAAAGGCACAAAAGCAGTCTGTGAACGCAGTCGACAAACTGCTGCAGGAGTACCTTTCGTGACGATCTTGGAGGTCGTTTTTGCCGATCCGCCTGCCTTTGGTGTGGCAGACGGAGTCTGTGAGCCCGGCTGGGCCGGCGGCTTCTGTTGTGGTGAGGTTGTCGGCCGGGACGATGCGGGGCTGACATCCGGCTGTCGACAGAGAGGAGAAAGGCCGGTAAAGATGCATGGTTAACGCCAGGGGTCATTTCCTGCAGGAGCGCAAAGGAGCGGAGCTCCGGCAGTAAAGAGCCCAGGGGGCGGGCACATGCAACAAGCCCCACCCCCTGCTCCCAGCAGCCCCAGGCCACGAGGAGCAAGAAGCCTCTGTCCCTTCCTTCCTTCTTGCCTTCTTTCCGTTTCCCTCCTTCTTTCCTTCTCTTTCTTTCCCTCTTTCTCTCCTTCTTTCTCCCTCCTTCCTTCCAGCACAGATCGGTTCCCCCCCCCCCCCAGCTAGCAATCCAAAACAGTCCAGTGACACCTTTAAAGTTCTTATTCAGGTACAAGCTCTCCCTCCTCTGTGAGGACAGATCTGCACATCCCCCCCCCAATAGCTAGCAATCCAAAACAATCCCGTGGAGCCTGAGCGGTGGGTGTTGCCTTCTGACACACCTCTGGTGATGTCAGGGGGTGTGGCATATGCAAATGAGTTGTGCTAATGAGTTATGCTAATGAGCTCCAGTGCCTCTTTTTCTACGAAATGACCCCCTGGTTAACGCCAGCCCTGCGAAGCACACTGCACAAAAAATCATGGATGGAGAAGTCCAAGCCCTACTGTTGACTGGGCACTCGATCGCAAGGCACTGATTGCAATCTAAACGCCACAGTCAGTAGAGATGCTCAGCATGTACAAAGAACTGGCAAGGAAAGACCAACATCTTTTGGTGGTCCCCGGCCCCAGGGACGTCCGACTTGCCTCAACCAGGGCCGGGGCTTTCTCGGCCCCGCCCGTGCCTGGTGGAATGAGCTCCCGAGTAAGATCGGGGCCCTGCGGGATTTACCACAATTCCGCAGGGCCTGCGAGACGGAGCTCTTCCGCCGGGCTTTGGGTTGAGGCAGCGGGCGTCCCCCTTTCTTGGGTCGGCCGGGCCCCCATATGTAGCCCGGGTCCTGAGGTCTTAACTCTTAAAGATCTCTAAAAACAATTTAGATCTTAATACCCTCGACCACTGAGATGTCTGGTTTTTATTAGAGTTGTATGGCACATACGCGTTATGTTATTGGTCTTGTGTTTTAATGCCGTTTTAATTGCATTGTTTTTCAGACTGCTGGAACCCGCCCTGAGCCCGTTAAGGGGCGGGCAGGATATAAATCAAATCAATAAACAAAATGAAATAAATAAAACTGGGTGGCAAGCAGTGTTCCCTCTAAGCTGAGTTAGTGTGAGCCGACTCGCAGTTTTTTAGCCTCCGGCTCACACATTTTTGTCTTGGCTCAGGAAGGAGGGCTCCAGAGCAGTGTTCCCTCTAAGCTGAGTTAGTGTGAGCCAGTTCACAGTTTTTTAGCCTCCGGCTCACACACTTCTGTCTTGGCTCAGGAAGGAGGGCTCCAGAGCACACTAATTTATGCAGCAGCCAAATCGCTCACTCACAACTTGAATGCCAGTAGCTCACAAGGTAGAGTTTTTTTTCTCACAAGACTCCGCAGCTTAGAGGGAGCATTGGTGGCAAGCATCTGGACTGGTAAGTACATAGGCTGCTCCATGGTGCAGGAACAGCCAACACCAGTCGTGGTTCGACTTGTCACACAGGACCCCACTGGCATGGCTGGCCTCCAAGGGGGACTGGGAGAACGCCTGGAGATATGACTGATCTCCGGACGACAGAGATCGGTTCCCCTGGAGAAAATGGCCACTTCAGAGGGAGGACTCTTGTGCAACGCTCCCTCTAAGCTGTGGAGTTTTGTGAGCAAAAATGCTATTTGATGAGCTACCGGCATTAAAAGTTGTGAGCGAGAGGTTTGGCCGCTGCATGATTTAGTTTGCTCTGGGGCCCTCCTTCCTGAGCTGAGACAAAAATGTGTGAGCCGGAGGCTAGAAAACTGTGAGCTGGCTCACACTAACACAGCTTAGAGGGAACACTGCTCTGGGGCCCTCCTTCCTGAGCTGAGACAAAACTGTGTGAGTTGGAGGATAAAAAACTGCGAGCTGGCTCACACTAACACAGCTTAGAGGGAACACTGCTCTGGCACCATCCCTCCTGAGCTGAGACAAAACTGTGTGAGCTGGAGGCTAAAAAAACTGTGAGCTGGCTCACACTAACTCAGCTTAGGGGAAACACTGCTCTGGAGCCCTCCTTCCTGAGCTGAGACAAAACTGTGTGAGCCAGAGGACCCGCTCTGTCAGGATTTACAGTCTCAGCTTCTCCCAGATCCCTCGGGGATCGTCTCTAGCATCCCACTCTACCTTTTTTGACTCTTCGTCATCTTCATCCTTTGCGCTGGCGAGTTTCATGGCCGTTTCGAGGATCCCCACAAAGCTCTGGTCTCCCGACGAATGTTCCATCCCCTGGATCGGACGGAAACCTGCCGAAGGAAGGGAAGTCTGAAAGGGAACGGTGCCGTAAGAGGGCAGCATTTGCCCAGGAGGGCATCAACACCCCTTGCCCAGTCGAGAGCTGCTGATGCAGAGCAGGGCTACAGATACGGTTGCCAACTCCAGGTTGGGAAATGCCTGGAAATTTGGGTGTGTGCGTGTGGAAGGTGGAGTTTGGGGAGACGAGCAGCATCAGCAGGGTGTAACACCATAGAGGCCGCCAGTGTTCCCTCTAAGCTGAGTTGGTGTGAGCCAGCTCACAGTTTTTTAGCCTCCGGCTCACACGTTTTTGTCTTAGCTCAGGAAGGATGGGGCTCCAGAGCAAACTAATCTATGCAGCAGCCAAATTGCTGGCTCACAACTTTAATGCCGGCAGCTCACACAGTAGACGTTTTGCTCACAAGCCTCCACAGCTTAGAGGGAGCGTTGGAGGCCACCCTCCAAAGCAGCCATTTCCTCTGGGGAAACTGATCTCTGTAGGCTGGAGTTCATTTGTAATTCCAGGATACCTCCAGAATACTGAAATGCTGCTCCTATACACTACGAGAGAGCCATTGAGCCAGCGACGTGAGACAGAGAGCAATTGCCAGCCAATTTGGAAAAAGAAGGCTTCCAGCCAGATTTTAAAAAAAGAGGACTGGTTGCTACTACCGGAAATAAACAAACTGGCTTGCTCCTAATTCAAACACTTGGAATGGAACTGGAAGATAATTTGAGGATATTAAAAAAAGAAGCGACGCTGCAATCATTTGCAGGAAGTTAAAAAAGAAGTTGAGCTGTGACTGTTTGAAGGAAGCAAAGAAAGAAGATGAGCTGTATCAAGAAGGATGAGACCTTCCAACACAATGGGACTACTCCTGAGGAAGACTGGTGAAATGAGTGGATGACCGGGTGCTCATTGAGGACGTGGGACGTTTCCTTGAAAACGTTAGCATTTACTGAGCAATATTGTAAAGTTTTAATTGATATACAAATTGACGTTCATAGGATTTAGTAAATGTTACTCTCATTTTTATCACAGTGTTTCTTTGATATAATTGGTCCATGGGGTCGCGAAGATTTGGACTCGACTGTGCAGCTGAACAACAACAACAAAAACTGTGGTCCCTTCTTTGGTTTACCTGCCCGTAGGTTGGCAACCCAAGTTATGGCCAGCTTTTGAGACAGCCCTTTGCTGCCTCTGTCAAATCCGTCCTTTCTACTTTTTATGCGTATGTGTGTATCTGCACGCATGAGTGTGTGGGCGCCTGGAAGTCCTGCCGACCTCTGGTGACTGACCCCTACTGGGGGCCTGGGGGATATTCAGAGGGCTGGCTGAGGAAAGCCTGCCCCCGCCTCCCGACTGCTGGTATCCCTGGGAGGTCTCCCACTCAAGTACTTTCCAGAGTCGAGCCTGCTTAGCTTCCAAGATCTGACGAGATCGGGCTGGCCTGGGCTATATCCAGCTGAAGCAACACGAGCTGCAGTTGTAGGAGAGTCTAGCAACAATTAAGTAGACACTGCAAAAGCCTTTTAGCAAACTAATGTGTTCTATTGATGGTCATCATTTAGTAAAGTGCATAGTGTATCATATGGAGCTGCAGTGGCTCAAGTGGTTAAGACGCTGAACTGCAGGCTGTGGAAGGTCGGTAGTTCAGCAGTTCGAGACCCGAGTGTGCCGCATGATGGAGTGAGCTCCCGTCTCTAGTTCCAGCTCCTGCCAACCTAGCAGATCGAAAGCAAGAAATTGCAAGTAGATAAATAGGTACCACTTCGGTGGGAAGGGGAAAGCGTTCTGTGCGCCTTGGTGTTTAGTCATGCCGGCCACATGACCACGGAAATGTCTTCAGACAGCGCTGGCTCTTCGGCTTTGAAACGGAGATGAGCACCGCAACCCCAGAGTCGGATTCGACTGGCTTTCGAGCAAGGGAAACCTTTACCTTTACCTATAGTGTATCATTATTTCATCCCAGTCAGGTATAAATATTCATTACATTCAATAAGCAATAACATTCAATGCACACAGATTACTAACTACCAGACATCAGTGTTTTAAAAGTCAAGCCCCAACGGGAGTTTCTAGAATTATAAACCCGCTTCTCCTTGCATGAAGTCTTCCAAAAAGGGGGGGCAGCCTTCTGAATAGTTGCATGGATGCTTTTCGCCGGGCCTACAAAAGGCACATTGTGCAGCTAACGTTCATTCTCGAAGCTGCATATATCCAGGTCAGGGCCACATCCGGCCTTTCTGATGGGAAGACGACTCAGGTTCTAAGGCAGGTTTATACCCGATTCTCTGCACTTAACCAAGACATGCAGAGATGCATACAGTGGCATTGGCCATCCTCTCCAAGTTCCACCACCTGCTCCCACTCTTCCCGGTGTCAGCTGGGGCCTGGAAGCTTCCGGAGGAACCCCAAAGCAACCCTCCCCACTCAGGAAAACAATTTTGGGAAGTAAATACCTGGCGGAACAGGTAGGTCAGCAAACTCCACGGGCTTCCCTGCTTTGTGAGCTCTGATGGCCTCTTGGTATTGCTGGAAGAGAAAACACGGTCATCGGAGGACACTTTTCCTCGGGAAACGGGACTCGGCAACACCAAAGTTCTTAGGCTGATCACGGCTAGCGCGGGGTCGCGAATGTAAGCCCTTCCCGGAATGTTATTAAGCAAAGCAGTTATGGCTACCGATTGTTTTCAGCGTACAAAGAGTATGGGGCTGTGAGGGGCAGCAAAGTGGGCAAGGAAGGTTCAAGGATGGAGACTCCATAGCCTACCCTATCTTGTTCAACCTCTGAATCCCAGGGCCAGGAGGCAAGAGCAGGGGAAAATTTTGACCTCTCTGCTCTGTTGTTGGCCCTCCAGAGGAGCTGGTTGGCCACTGTGTGAGACGGGAGGCTGGACTAGATGGACCCTCCCTGGTCTGGCCCAGCAGGGCTCTTCTGGTGTCCTTCTCAGGGGAAGGCTTCAGCCTCTCTGCCCTGTTGCTGGCCCTCCAGAGGGACTGACTAGCCCCTGTGTGAGACGGGAGGCTGGACTAGAGGGACCCTCCCTGGTCTGACCCAGCAGGGCTCTTCTGGTGTCCTTCTCAGGGGAAGGCCTCGGCCTCTCTGCTCTGTTGTTGGCCCTCCAGAGGAGCTGGTTGGCCACTGTGTGAGACGGGAGGCTGAACTAGATGGACCCTCCCTGGTCTGACCCAGCAGGGCTCTTCTGGTGTCCTTCTCAGGGGAAGGCCTCGGCCTCTCTGCTCTGTTGTTGGCCCTCCAGAGGAGCTGGTTGGCCACTTGACCCTCCCTGGTCTGACCCAGCAGGGCTCTTCTGGTGTCCTTCTCAGGGGAAGGCCTCGGCCTCTCTGCCCTGTTGTTGGCCCTCCAGAGGAGCTGGTTGGCCACTATGTGAGACGGGAGGCTGGACTAGAGGGACCCTCCCTGGTCTGACCCAGCAGGGCTCTTCTGGTGTTCTTCTCAGGGGAAGGCCTCGGCCTCTCTGCCCTGTATCTTGGCCCTCCAGGGGAACTGGCTGGCCCCTGTGTGAGACGGGAGGCTGGACTGGAGGGACCCTCCCTGGTCT